TAAGCATTTCGCAGGGTGTACTGCTCCCTTTCGGTGGGGATGGGAGGGCACCCATATCCCCACCTGTTGCGGCAAGGGGGGGTGTCGTCGACCGGCCGGGGGTCCCGCCGATCCTTCCCCACTGCCCCGTCTCGCCCCGAGCTGCCGCACCGCCCTCCGCCCCCCCCCCCACCCCCTCTGCACCTTCAGGAGCCCTGACCAGATCAGTTTATTGATGAGCGTTTTTTTTGTTGAGCAGACCAGTTCAATAAGATCTGTCGTTGTTCGGCACGACACCACTAAAATGAAATTTGAAGAGGAACATACTTCCACGCGTCCCTTCATAGCCCTTGGCGAAGCCAACTGACGGGGGAGCTCCCGAGAGCCTCCGAGGGGGCCCCTGCAAGCTCCTCCCAACGCATCCTCGGTCCTTCACCCCACAGATATACCAGCCTGGAGCAGATCCCTATCCTTGTGCTGGGCATCTCCTCATCACGATGCCAATCTTCGGGATTCCCTTATTTTTGGAGGGCGCATCCCCAAGAATGTCATCGCCTCTTGGCGTGTAACCTTAGGGATAGGGATAAGTTCGAGGCTGGTAAACAGGCCATCTCACGGGAGCTCAGAGGCTCTCCCGATGTCCGGCACAGAGCCGGAGCGGCCGGGCAGCCATGTCTCCGAGCCTTGGCGAAAGGTGAGAGCGGAGGGGGGCGCCAGGAGGAGGAGGAGCCTTGTGCCCTACAGAGATTCATGGATCGCTCATCCTGGATCCTCTCGTCTCCATCCTGGATCCCTGGATCCCGTGGCCCCCCTCCCACTTCGCCTCCCCCACGTCTGCTTCCCTTTCTCCATTCATACATCCCTCGGCCATCCCCGCTGCCTTGCGCCTCTCCCATCCCCATCGGAAGAAGGTGAGGAACGAGGAGCAGGAGGATAGAACAGGAGGAGGAGGAGGAGGAGGGGCAATATTGAGATCGAGAGGGAGAGAGAGAGAGAGAGAGAGGAGTGAGAGCAGGAGGTAGCAGGAGGAAGACGAGGGAAGACCAGAGTGATTAGTACATCCATGATGCGTCAGCGATGCGATAACGCACCCTCCCGTCCCAAGTCCCCTCCCATACGTCCTCCCATAGGATCATGAAGGCCATCGCCAGCGCTGCAGCGTGGCGCTGGCGATGGCCTTCATGGAAAGAGCGTGTTCTACCGCTGCTGGTGGAAAACCGGGGGAGTCACTACCCGTTCGAACCCCTCCCCCCCCCCCCCCCTCTCCGGAAAACCCGGGGGGGTCACTACCGGTTCGAACCCCTCCCCCCCCCCTCCCAGTTCATCATGAAAAGGGGAAGGGGTCACTACCGGTTCGAACCCCCCCCCCCCCTCCCCCTCGAAAACCGAGTGGGGGTGCGGACAGTGGTGGGGACGGTGTTGGTGGGGACAGTGGTGAGGGGACAGCGGGACAGTGGTGGGGACAGTGGGACAGTGGGACAGTGGTGGGGACGGTAGTGGTGGGGACAGTGGTGGGGACAATGGTGGGAACAGGGGGGACAGTGGACAGTGGTGGGGACGGTGGTGGTGGGGACAGTGGTGTGGGGACAGTGGGAATGAGGTGGAAACAGTGGGACAGTGGAGGGTACAATGGTGGTGGGGACAGTGGTAAAGGCGGTGGCGAGGACGGCGGTGGGACAATGGGACAGAGGTACAGTGGGGACAGTGGTGGGGACAGTGGGGACAGTGGTGGGAACAGTGGGACAGCTCAGTGGGACAGCGGAGGAGTCAGTGGGACAGTGGGGACAGTGGGGATAGGCAGTGGTTGGGTCCGTGGAGACAGTGGGGAGAGTGGAACCGTGGTGGGAACAGTGGTGGGAACAGTGGGGACAGTGCGACAGTGGTGGGGGCACTGGTGGGGACAATAGGGACGGTGGTGGAACCAGTGGGGACAGTGGTGGTGAGGACAGTGGTGCTGGGAACAACAGTGGGGGATGTGATGCGAGCGGTGGTAGGGACCGGGAGTCGTTTGCTGGCGGTGCGTGGGGGGGGTCGAACCGGTAGTGACCCCCCTCCCGTTTTCAAGGGGGGGGGGGGGGGGTTCCAGCCGGTAGTGACCCCCTTCGGTTTTCCGGATCCGGAGGGGGGGGGGGGAGGGGTTCGAACCGGTAGTGACCCCCCCGGTTTTCGAGGGGGGGGGGGGGGAGGGGTTAGGGGAGGGGGGAGGTTTGCCGGGGGGGAGGGGGGGGGGTCCAGCAGGGGGGGGGGGGGGGGGGGGAGACCCCCGGGTTCCGGAGGAAAAGGTTTGGCAATTTTCCACAGGAAAGCGGCGGTGGATCTCGCTCTCTCCCTTCATGACCCTCCAGCTGTGCCGCGCAATCGTTCTCGTCGTCGGCACGGCCGAAGCGCATTTGCGCAGCCGCTCTGTGGGCACCTCGACTACCAGCCATTCGGCGTCAGCTGCTGGGCGGATTCCCGTACTGGACGTTGCCTTGTGCCGTTCTGGCACGTGGCGTCGGCACTGCTTCTCGGTCGAGGGTTTCGCGCGCGCTCTTGCCACCTTCGTCGACAACCTGGTGTCTTGCGGGCCCTCCCCAGAGACTGCGACCGCCATCCTCATCGGCTGGGGGATACCTTACAACATTGCTTGTTTTTTGGAATTCGGTCAGGATTCGATGGACTACGGGGCTACCCAAACGACATTATTGTCGCTTCCGACTGGCAGCGGCGGACGGCAATCAAGCTACTCGGACACCATCTCGACGACGATGGTGGCATAGCAACCTGCCTACACTGCACTATCCGCAATATGTGGAGGGCTTTCTGGGGCAACTTGTCCAAGGGACTCAAGTGCGCCCCCATCCGCACAAAGTTGCGTTTCATGCCGACCTCCATGAATACTGTAGCGTCCTTCCGTTGGCCCCGGTGGCCTTTCCAGAAGGGCGCCGCCGACAAAATCGACAGCATCCAGCGCAAGATGTTGAACATCCTAGCTGGAGTGAGGCCCTTGGCTATGAGTCTCCGGCCGCGTATGTGCAGCGCCACCGGAGCATCGCTGGCGGCCACGTGGCGACCGTCGGGAAGTGGAGCCGTGATCGGGCACGCTCTTTGAAGTCGCGGCACGATCACGTCGAGCGGCGCCACGACCCGTGGGTTTGGTCATGGCCCCTGCTGCACTGGCACACGAGCGACTGGCACACGCGCAGGAGATCTGTCCACGGTTTCTGCGTTTTCGGTGCCCGTCGCTAGGCTTGGGTGACTAAGGCGGGAGGCGTTTACACAATGGTTTCCCCTGCCGCTCCGCTCCCCCCACTTCGGTCCTCCCGCCCCTCCCCCTCTGCAGTCTGCCTCGGGTCCTCTCTGCGTGCGTATGGTATCTCAGTTGTTCATCTGTCAGCCCACAGTTTCTAGGATGCCGTGTTCGCCTCTGCTGCACATGAGACTGGGTTGTCCTATCGCCCGCGCAATCAACAACAGCAGCAGCAGCAACAACCACTCCTTTTCACTACGGGAGCGCCTCCTGAAGAAGACGATCGCACAATGGGCCTGTCCTTCAGACGAGGGCTCCGTTTTGAAAAGGTGTCGCCCTCCCCGTACAGCTGAACGATACAGTCAAAAACCCTTATAAGGACGCGCGACTTTGCTCAGGGTACCCTTGTGTCCTTGCTCTTCCTTGCTCTTGCGTCCTTGAGGTTTCCGTCGTCCGCCGCCCCAAAAGTCCCGACGTCGGCTTCCAAAGGGTCTTGCGTCCTCACCGCGCGTCCTTGTTCGTGTTTTGACTGTACTCCAGGGTGCAGGGTGCGGTTGGGGCGCCCAGCGAGAGCCTCTTTTGAACAGGGACTGCCGTCCACGCGCGGCACCCGTGCAGCGGGGAGAGGTGCCGTCTTCGGCTTCGGCATCGGCTCCAGCGACAGCCCGCCTGCGGGCAGGGTGCCGCCCTCGAGCCGCGCGGTGGCTGCACAGTGTGAGCAAACAAGACGGTCCGTGGCCTCGAGGAGGCGGCGCCCTTCCGAGCACGACTTCGGGCAGGGTGCCGCCCTCGAGCCGCGCGGCGGCTGCACAGTGTGCAGAAACAGACTGTCCGTGGCCTCGAGGAGGCGGCGCCACCCCGAGCACGGCCGGGCTCGGTGCGAAGGTGCGCTTCGGCTTCGCTGAAGCGAGAGCCCCCGCTTCGGAGGCCCTTCCGCCCGGCGGCCGCGCCGCGGCCGGACGAGCTCGCGGCGACCGCGCGCGGAGCTGCCCGTTCTCGGCACGAGCTGCCCGCGCATCCGTGTAGTGGCGGGGCTCGTTTACGACGAGGGTGCGCAGCGCTCTGACGAGAGCCCCGCCCTCAGATCGGGGGGGCAGTCGATGCCCGACCCGCTCCGTCGAGGCGCCTCGTGGCCTGACGAGGACGAGCTGCCGGCGGAGGAGTGGGCATGCGGGGAGGAGGCAAAGGAGTGGGAGGATGAGGAGGAGGCGGAGGAGGCGCAGGAGGAGGAGGAGGAGGAGGTGGAGGAGGAGGAGGAGGAGGAGGAGGAGGAGGAGGAGGAGGAGGAGGAAGGGGCGGGGAAAGGCGTCGCTAGGGAACGGGAGGTAGAGCAGTGAGGGGGACGGGTGCGTGATGATGGGCCCAGCTTTCCAGGGAGGGAAGACCATGAGAGTGGATGAAAGGTGGTGGTTAGGGATGGCGTGTAACTGTTTTCGCAGCCACATGGGACTGGTTTCGATTGCATGGCGCTCTTCCGAAACATATTTGCTCCTCGCGAGAGGTAGACATCCGACGAGGGAACCGTCCCAACTAGAAAGTACACTGCGCACCGTGGTTCTTATGCGAAGTTTCAACGAAAACGCACAGGGGGGCGGGCGTGACACCCAGCCTACCAGGAAGCTGGATACAGATACACATGACGTGGCCGGCCCGGGCGAGAACTTTCTGCCCACATGGCCGCACCGCATGTCTCTCCAGCGCTCGGCCACCGTGCGGCTGGGTCCGCGGCGGGCACTCCGCACGTGCATCCAGTGCTCAGTCGTGCTGGCACCGCGACTCCAAACACACAGAGTCCATCCAGCGCGCGGCCTGCAGGCTGCTCCACGTGTGAATTCTGCCACCTGGTTTAGGCCAGAGTCGGGTATAGCCATGACCCCGGGTAAGGGGACCCGGTTAGCGGTAGGGCCCCGGAGCCTTCGAATCGGCCAGAATCACTAAACCAGGTTTGCCATAGCTCGTGTTGTTTCGGGTGACGGCAGTTCCGCTTAGTGGAAATGGGACGGGGGTTCGCCCCCGGTGCAAATCACTAAACCAGGTCTCACTAAACCCAGTCCTGCCAACGCCCGAAAGAGAGGCCCCCCGTCGCCAAAGGGGGGCGGGGTGGCGCGAAGGTCACCGCGCACCGCGGGGCGCGACGTGCGAAGCCTCGCGACCGAGGCGTTTCCAGCTCCCTGGTGGGCTTGGCGCAGCCTCCTTCTGTCTGGACGCCCGAAATGGGTACGGAAAGAATGGGCACAATGCTCAACAACAAATGCTGTCCCACACCAACAGCGGCCGCTGTTGGGCAGGCGGCCTTCTGTCTCAAATGGACACGGGCCGCGGCGACACCGACAGCGAGCCCTGTTCAGAAGGAGCAGGAACTGCTGTTGGGCCTTGTGCCCATTCTTTCCGTACCCATGTCGGGCGTACCCATGTCGGGCGTCCAAATTCTGGCGCGCGAGGGAACGGGAGCCAGACCCGCTGCCTCTGCTTGCGCGGCCCTCCATTCCCACGGGCCTCCGCGGCCCCCGGGAGCGATCCGGGGCCGCGCCAGAACGAGACCCGGTGGAGGCTACTCTGGGTTCTCGAGGCTGCACGAGCCCCAGACTGGAGGCGCTCGCCAGGGGGTGGGGCGAGGGGGGGGGGCCTTCTGAAAAGGTGGGGGGCTTCTCAGAAGGCAGGGGCTGTCTCTGAAGTACCAGGAAGCTTCCAAGAAGGCTTCTCAGAGGCAGAGGGGGCCTATGAGAAGGCCCCTGCCTTCTAAGAAGCCCCCCCCGCCTTCTTAGAAGGCCACCTCCCTCGCAGCACCCCCGCGTGCGCGCCGCAAGCTGGAGCCAGAGCTTCAATACGGTTTTGGGCGGGTAGAGAGGATGCCAGATTGCATCTCACATGATTACGTTAAATGACGGTTCTCAAGTCTGCGGGCATTGTGCAATGTGGCCCGCATTTTGCATGCCCGAGCCTGGACACCGTGCTCAGGTGAAGGGCGAAGCGAAGGGCGAGGTAAAGCAGGAGGTCAAGCGGGAGATCAAGGCGGAACGGGAACGGTCTGCATCGAAAAAGAAGGATGCCCGGCTTCCGCTCAGCATGCTGCATCCTGCTGCTTGAGAAGGGAAGCTGGCAGCAGGGCAGTTGCCAGAGTGCTTGGAACCTTCTGTGCGAGTTCTGCATCTCCAGACCTCCGAAGTTGTGCGCGAAGTGGACCCAGAGGTAGGCTTCTCCCTATAGGAGCCTGTTTTGCCCCCCGGGTAGTGTCGAGGGCTCCATAGGGCCTGGTAAGGGGGGCCTCGGGGGGCGGAGGTTTCAGAGGACTTGTCCGTCGCCTGGCAGCAGCCGTTGGCTGGAAGCGGAAGGGGTCGGGCGAAGGGAACTATGCACATGCACCGATCCTGGCAAGGCCCATCTTTGACCCAGGATCGGTGCATATGCCTTCCTGGCCAAGGTAGGAGGGCGTATGCACCGATCTTGGGCTCAGGATCGGCCTGGCCAGAATCGGTGCATGTGCATAGTTCTTTTTCCTCTAAGGGGGGGGCCCCATGCAACCTGCCGCCTCCCTGCTCCTCGTCCTCCCGGGGAGCCCCGGGGGAGGTGCGGCGGCGAGCTCCTCTCGGGGGTCCGCTCGGGCTTTCCTCGGGGTCGGCGCTGGGGCCGCGGCCCCCCCACCCATAGGGGCGCGCGGATCGCGCCAGTGGGAGCGGGGAGGGGGCCCCCCACGCGCTCCGCGCGGACCTCGCTGTTTCGTCGTGTTGGCCAAGATTTGGATTCCTATCCCATGTGGCCAACCTGGGGGACTGGAATGGAATTCGGCTTGGGTCTTTCTCTAGGGCAGCGGCACTTGGCGGCACGCGCGCTTGTGGCTCCGATGGGTTCGGCGGGCCCCATGTACGCGCCAGGCCGTTGGTGGCGACTGGTGGCAGCTAGTGGCCGCTGGTGGCCGCTAGTTCTCGCCTTGTTCACTTCACTGCGGGTCCACGCGGGCTGGGCCAGGCGCGCCCAGACCAGTCCACAGTAATTATGAGCATCAACCCTGATCACACTCCTCTTCCTCTGTTGTCCGCTCCGACCCCTCGCCTCCCCCCGCGGCTGCTGATGTTCCTCCTCGTACTGCCCCCCACGCTTCCCCCGCCCCACTCTACCTGCTCCTCCCTTCAGGCTTGACAGACGTGTTGTTCTTTCATCCAATGGTTGTGGCCAACCTGGGGAACTGCGGAAGGGAATTCGAGTTGTTTTTTTCTAGGATAACGGCACTTGGCGGCACTTAGCGGCACGCGCGTTTGTGGTTCCGATGACGTCGGCGATCCCATTCACGCGCCAGGTCGATAGTGGCCGCTAGTGGCCGCTAGTGGTCACCAAGTGCCGCTAAATGGCCGCTAGTGGCGGCCAGTGGCCGCTACAGGCCGCTAGTGGCTATTAGTTGGCTGCTAAATGGCGGCCAAGTGCCCGCTGGTGGCCGCTAGTGGCCGCTAAATGGTTGATTTTGGCCGCTAGTGGCCGCTGATTGCGGCTAAATGGCCGCTAGTGGCCGCCACAGGCCTCTCGTGGCCACTGAGTGCGGCCAAATGGGAGTTTTCGGAGGTCGCGATGGTCAGTACGAAGTTCCCCAGAGGGGCTACAGCATCCATCCTTCTCCTCTTCCTCCTTCCTTCTGTCGTTGGGATTCGGGCCGTGGCGTGGCGCTGCTGCGTCACTGGCTGCTGCATGTGGGGCGCTCCAGAAAGTGCCTTGCCATCGAGGGGTCGAGAGGCGACCTTCTCTTCTTCGGCGGAAGGTCGGCGACAGCCATCGAAGCCCTTCACGAACACCGCCCGAGCCTAACGCAGCAGGGGGGGTGTATTGCAACCAACACGTAAATTTGCAAAGCGAGAGTGGCTCCGCCTATAGAAGTTGGCGCAAGCCAGATGTCGACCCCATCCTTTTTTCTGGGCTGAGGGTTTCCGGACTTGGCCACGTGATCGGGTCGTCGGCGGGATATGTCAGGGAGGACTGATGATACATCGTTTCAGGGTGCTCCGTACCGCTCCCACAGAGTGTCCCAGAGAGCTGCCAGCCACGCGCAGAGGGGGGTAGGGGGAGGGGGGAAGGCTTCCTACAAACACCCCTGCTTCTTAGAAGGCGCGGGCCTTATCCTTACCAGCGTGGAAAATATCCCTATCCCTATGTTGGGCATCTCCTCATCACGATGCCAATCTTAGGGGTTCCCTTATTTTTTGAGGGCGAATCCCTAAGATTGTCATCGCCTTTTGGCGTGTCAATCTTAGGGATAGGGACACGTTCGGGGCTGGTCATATCCATAAAATGCAAAGGCCAGCGCCTTGGAAGGAGCAGACGCCTTCCGAGGAGCCCTCCCCCCTTCCCCCGAGGACCTCCCTCTGCGCGCCGCGCCCCCCCAGCTGTGGAGAGCGGCCGCGGTGCACGCACGCGCTGCCTCTCCGAGGCACCCCCGCGGGGGGGGCGGCGCGAGGAGGCTGCCGCCGTGCTGCCGTGCTTCGCGCGTCCGCGCGTCGCGGGGTCCAGGGCAGAGCGGCTGCCCCGCATATAGGGGGCGGCAGGGCGGCTGCCCCTCTGATGAGGATCTCTGAGATCTGGCGGCTCTGGAGGATGTCCTGGGGCGCCGCGGCCTTCTCGCAGAGTGTCCAGAGACGCTCTGGAAGGGGAGTGTGTCCTTGTTTTTTTTACAATCCTTCGATCTCTGAGATCTGGCGGCTCTGGAGGATGTCCCGGGGCGCCGCGGCCTTCTCGCGGAGTGTCCAGAGACGCTCTGGAAGGAGTTTTTGTCCTCGTCCCAGCCCCCCGCCCGAGGAGGGGTGACTCAGCAGTCTTAGAAGAGGACAATCCTGGAGCGCTCTGGAGCGAGGTTTGTCCTCGTCCCAGCCCCGCCCCGAGGAGGGGTGACTCAGCATGTCTTGGGAGGACAAAATCCTGGAGGCCTCTCGCGCGGCAGCTTGAGGCCCAAGCTACGTCGGATCCACGTCGGGTTCACGTCGGAGTGCCCCTCGGGGGGCGCGAGGGCGCGGAGGCGGTCGCGCGCCGCGCATCGGCGGGCGCGATGCGCGGAGGGAGGCTGAAGTCAGGAGCGTCCCTCTACTGGGGGAATATATTCAGAAATGGTCAAGTTACTCGACGCGGGGATCCCCACACGTGCATCTTACAGCGGTGGCAGACTTCGGCAGAAGACACTGTCATGTTCAGCATCCGAGTGTCAGCGAATAACCCACGTGGAAAACGAGGCCGCGAGAGACGCCGACGACTACGACGACTTTAAGTAGTTGCTTCCTCCTTCCGTCCTCTTCCTCCTCCTTGTCCTCCTCCTCTTTCTCTTCCTTTCCCTATGAACACCTGTCAGGAAAATCCATCCGTGAAGACGAGAACGGTCCCGTGCAATATCCCTTGGCGCCCCCCCCCCCCTTGGAAGTGCTGAAACCAGTGCCTCGCATGAGACATCCTCGGAAACTGCTCCGCAAGAGAAGGGTCCTGAGCACCCAAACAGGCAAACCGCCTGAGACATCCCCTCAATCTGGGCGCGAACTGGCCCGTGCAATAATACCCCCTGGCGTCCACCCTTGGGAGTGCTGAAGCTAGCGCCTCGCCTGAGACATCCTCTGAAACTGCTCCGAAAGAGAATGATTTTGTGCACCAAAACAGGCAAACCGCTTGAGACATCCTCCCAATCTGGGCGCGAACGGGCCCGTGATATACCCCCTGGCGCCCCCCCTTTGGAGTATTGAAACCAGCGCCTTGCCTGAGACATCCTCTGAAACTGCCCCGAAAGAGAAGGATGTTGGGCACCCACACAGGCAAACCACCTGAGATGTCCCCCCAATTTGGGCGCGAACGGGCCTGTGATATACCCCCTGGCGCCCCTTCTTGGGAGTACTGAAACCAGCGCCTCGCCTGAGACATCCTCGGAAGCTGCTCCGAAAGAGAAGGATGTTGGGCACCCAAACAGGCAAACCGCCTGAGACATCCCCCCAATCTGGACGCGAACTGGCCTTTGATGATATACCCCCTGACGCCCCCTTGGGAGTACTGAAACCAGCGCCTCGCCTGAGACATCCTCGGAAACTGCTCCGAAAGAGAAGGATGTTGGGCACCCAAACAGGCAAACCGCTTGAGACATCCCCCCAATCTGGGCGCGAACGGGCCCGTGATATACCCCCTGGCGCCCCCCCTTTGGAGTACTGAAACCAGCGCCTCGCCTGAGACATCCTCACAACGTGTGTGTGTGTGTGTGTGTGGTTTTGTGTGTGTGTGTGTGTGTGTTTTGTGTGTGTGTGTGTGTGTGTGTGTGTGTGTGTGTGTGTGTGTGTGTGTGTGTGTGTGTGTGTGTGTGTGTGTGTTTTGTGTGTATGTGTATGTGTGTGTGTGTGTTTGTGTCTGAGCGCGGAAGTACCAGGAGTGTGAGTGAGTCTGCATATGAGTGGTCCCGAGCACGAGAAACCTGATAATCAAGAATCTAGAGCGAGTGCATCTGAGTATGAGTGAGTCTGAGTATGAGTGAGTCTACATGTGATTGAATCAGAGGATGATGACCTTAGGGTGGGAGGTGTTCGGTCCGCGTGGTCGAAGTAATAGCAAGAAACCCATCCTCAGGGTATGGAGAAAAATGGTCAGGGGACGATGTCTCTATTATGTCTGACTGTGTTGGATAATTTTTATTCGTCGTCCCAAACCCGCCTCTAGGAGGACATGCCCGACCTAAAAGTAGGCGACCCAGTTGCATCATCCAGACCCGCCCGCTTTCAGAGACTCCCGATTCACACACATTCGGACTTGTCTTCGTCCTGCCTTCGTCTTGCTGTGGGCATCGGCGGGAGGGGCGTCCGGCTCGGCCGCCCGCTCGAGCGCCGAGGTTGCTCTGTCGCGGCGAAGCTGGTGTCTCGCCCTTGGCGGATGCCGGCGCCCACGGAAGCCGCCGGAAGGAGGGCGGCTTTACCACCGGAAGCTGGTGTAAGCAGTAGGAGGTATCCCCAAGGGGGGGGGCCAACGCCAGCACACCCAGGCTGTGATGAGCCGGCCACGGAAGGCGCCGGCTGACATCCTGGACTCGCTGGCCGAGGTCATGGGTGTCGGCGTCCCCGGGGGGGGGGGGCACGCGCCCAGTTGGGGAACGCGCCCGGCTGGGCCGCATCGGAGGAGGGCGGGTTGAGGCCGACGGCGGCCCTCCCGCCCGACCCACGCGCATCTGCTCGCAATGTATCCTGAGGCCCCTGCCGGGGTTCCTGCTGGCGGATGTTTCGATCCAGCCGCGGAGAGGAGAAACGGCGCTCAGCAGAGACAGGGAGCTCGGGGATGGGGTTCTGCCCTCGGAGGGCTATTCGGACGCACCCCGAGGATGGGCGCCTCCCCTCCTCCTCCTCCTCCTCCTCCTCCTCCTCCTCCTCCAGGACGACGTACCCCCCATGAGGTGCCGCAGCGGCCACGGCTCCAGTCACGGAGGGCGCCAAAGCGCAGCCATGGGGTGCCCCAGGGTGGGCCCTGAGGCCCCCTCGCCAAGGTATGTCTGTTCCGGGGTTACGTTGGTCCACCCATCGTATATCCGCGAGTTTGGCTCCAAGTGTGTGGCCCAGGTGCAAGCCCCACGAAGTCGGTGATCGGGATCGCCGTTCGCCCCCGGAGAGAGCAGTGCCCATAATGAGCCATGACAACAGCGGGGCAGGAGCGCGGCTCTGCGGCCTCCCGCGAACGCCTGCCCCTGCGGATCGAAGCGGCATGGGGTCCGCAGGCATCCTTCACACTCGGTGCCCCCGCGAGGGCTTCACGCGTGCCTGCTGGGTGGTTTGGCGGGAGCACCCTCCGAGCGCCGTTTTGGCGTCGAGGAGATCTCTCCCCCGCACGCGCAAACTCTCCCCCGGCTCCGTCGGCCCGCAGGTGGCCGGGCGGCCGGTGGGGTCGGCCGGAGGCCTGCTGCGAGGGCAGGCGGCCTCGTCAGGGGCCCTCTTTGAGGGCAGGAGGGTGGCCCTTCTGAGGAGGCGGGCGGCGTCATATCGGGAGGGGAAGAAACACACAGACACAATTAATCGTCGATTTCCAGAAAAATATAGGAAAATATGGGAAGTGGGGGGGAAGACAGAAACCCAGAAAATAGGGGAATCTTTTTATTTGTGTGTATTTATTTGTGTGTTTGTGGGCCCCTTCATCATAGGCGGGCGGCCCTCTGAGACCTCCGAGGGGGCCGTTGGCGCCAGGGGGTCTGCCTGCTGGCACGCCTCCTCGGAGGCCTCCGGAGCACCTTTGGAGGAGGCCCCCTGCCTTCTCAGAGAGGGCCGCCGCTCGGGGGGGGGGGTCCTGGTAAGGGGGCTCCGAGGGCTCTTGGAACCGTCTTGTGGCCCTCTTCGGGCTTCTTGGAGGTTTGTCAGAAACTATCTTGAAACACATTCGGCTATCTGGAGCCGTCTTGGAGGCCATCTTGGAGCATCGGACGCCCTCTCGGAGCCATCTCGGGGCCATCTTGGGCGCCCTGACACCTCGCGCTACACCTCCCCCCCAAGCGATCCCCTGCCTTCTGAGAGGAGACTCCATGCCTTCTAAGACCCAGACCTCCTGCCCCTCCTACTCTGGCGCGCCGCTGGGCTTCGGCGGTGGCAGCTGCATCAGGGCTCTGGAAATCAGAGGTTGGGTCACTGGTGGTTCCTCCCTTCACATGAGTCGATCGGTTTCGGTGTCGTCTCGCGAGGCGGTGGCCACGCAGCCAGACCTATAGGGCCAGACGCTGTTGGGTTTCTGCGTTTATCAGTACTAGTACCGCGTGTTGCTGGACTGCTGTCAGGACAGACTTGGCTGACGCCGCTTGGTGAAAGTGTGTCCCGCAGGTGGTGCCCGTGGCAGAGTCATGCATTGCGTTCTTGCCTGGTGCTTTTGCCAGGACAAGAAGAAGAAAAAAGAAAAGATGAAGAAGGAAAAACGCTCCGAGGAAAGGGAAGAGAAAAAACAGAAGAAGAAGGCACGCACCGCTGGGGCTGGTTGCTCATTGGGCAATGCGCGCTCATCGAAGGTCTTCATGGTTCCTTCCTGTGTGCGCAGCAAGAGGTTGTGCACATCGAGTGGGTCGTCGAGCTCACATCTGCTTTGCTTATGTCGGTGCAGCGTCGTTCGCATGAGTAGGTGGTTAGGCGATTGATACAGCTAGTCTGTATGGAGTTTCGGGTCTGCTCGCTCCCTGCACATGTCAGTGTTTGGCATGCGGTGAGATAAGGGGCTGGGGAAGCCGTCATACCCCAAAGGGGGGAGGATGGAGAAGGAGGAGAAGGAGGAGGAGAAGGAGGAACGGGAGGGGCGAGGGGGGGAAGGATGGAGGAGGATGAACAGGCGGGTGATGATGATGTTGATGATGCTTATGATAATGATGATGATGATGACGATGATGATGGTGGTGATGATGGTAATGATGACGATGCTGATGACGATGACGATGATGATGGTGGTGGTGGTGGCGGTGATGCTAATCATGACGATGTTGATGCTCATGCTGATGATGATGATGATGATGCTGATGATGATGCTACTGATGATGCTCATGATGATGATGATGATGCTGCTGCTGATGATGATTATGGTACTTACTTGTGGTGGTGGCGATGTGGTGCTGATGCTGATGCTGACGACGACGATGATGATGATGATGATGCTGATACCGATGGTGCTGATGATGACCACGATGATGACGATCCCGACGATGACGATGACTACGATGATGACGATGATGCTGCTGCTGATGATGATGATGATGAGGCTGATGGTGATGCTGATGGTGGTAATGGTGATGACGATGATGATGATGCTGCTGATGATGATGCTGATTATGACAATGATGATGCTGATTATGACGATGATGATGATGGCGACGACGGCGAGTCTGTCTGTGTCTTTGTGTGTGTCATTGTTCCTGGTTGGCTGCCAGTCGCCTGTGGGAGGGGGTGTTTTACTCATAGGGAACACTGATCAACCTTTCCGCGAAGAGGGAGAGGAGGGGTTGGAAGAGGAAACTCGCTGAACCACTCACGCCCTAGAGGCTGGTGGGATTCGTGGCCCCAGAGCTGCCGACCCTTTCCCCAGGGATAGTTTTGCGTCCCAGACCATTTTGTGGTGGCTCTCAGGCCTAACAACGGGCCCGGGAGGCCGCCATCGAGGAGAAAGCGCCTTGATTGAAACAATCAGATCATCGGGGATTTGTTTCCAACCATCCTGTGGTATTGGGCCTTCGTTTTGACGAGACAGCGCCCCGTGTGCCACTCCTCACTCCTCCTCCTCCGCCTCCTCTTCCACCTCCTCCCTCCTCCATCCTCCCCCTCCTCCCTCCGCCCCATTTCGGCACAGCGCCGTCCGCATGGCGGCGCCGCCCCATTTCGGCACACCCCTCTCACGTTTCGTGGCCCCACAAGGAGCTCCACCTAAGGTCCATGTGGCGCCGTCCGCGTGGAGGCGCCGCCCCATTTCGGCACACCCATCACACGTTTCGTGCCCCCAGAGGGAGCTCCACCTACGGTCCCAGTGGCGCCGTCCGCATGGCGGCGCCGCCCCATTTCGGTTCACCCCTCATGCGTTTTGTGACCCATAGGGAGCTCCACTCGCGGTCCCAGTGGCGCCGTCCGCATGGCGGCGCCGCCCCATGTCGGCACACCCCTCACACGTTTCGTGGCCTCATAGGGGGCTCCATCTAGGGTCCCAGTGGCGTTGTCCGCATGCCAGTGCCGCCCCATGTCGGCACACTCCTCACGCGTTTCGTGGCCCCATAGTGAGCTCCACTTGCGGTCCCAGCGGCGCAGTTCGCATGGCGGCGCCGTCCCATTTAGGCACACCCCTCACACGTTTCCTGG